GACAAGTGATGACTGGTATTATTTGCGACTGGTGGATAAGAAAATGGTAACGTCATTTGTTGCTGATGTTTCTGAAGAAAAGAAAGGTTAATTATAAGATGTGGAAGTAAACAATGAAGAAGACAATCAATATGTCAGAGGTCGTTTAATAAACATAACTTACCTAAATATTAAATTATGTACGCTGCATTTATACAAAACACTTCTATTTACCTGATATTCACCGGTATGAGACTGATTGTACGTTTCACTGTTGTTACATTGGAGTAATTCATGTTGCTGTACATGAGAATGTTCTTTATGATGTGACATTTTTTCATGGATTAAATTTAAAAGCTTTTGAGCTTCATGTATTTGACCTTGTTGATTTAAATTCATTGCATCTTCAATCGCTCGTTTAAAATCAAATTCTTCATTTATTTCACCATTACCTGGTGTTGTTGGCATTGACAGGTGTGTGTCATTTGATGAAAAATGTTTACTATTTGAAAATGGCTGTTGTGGTGTTGTTGATATTGATGACGAGCTACCAGTAGATAATGTAGGTGATAGTAGAGCGGTTGTTGTCGTCCCATCTTCATGTCCGTTGTTAGTTCCGTTTAACCTTTTTCCAACATTAACAGCTGCTTGTGCCATTGCTCGAACGATTTGTTGTGTCGCTGGATCTAAATCTGGGTTACTTAATAATTTTCTCGCTGTTTCGGCAAATTCTTTTGCTTTTGGACCGCCATTAATGAGAAATAACGGATCTTCTATTGTATTTTTGAGTAATTGTTGCTGTTGTTTCAAAGATGATGTTGGACTTGGAGACGACAAACTGCTGCCTGGTGGAGTTGATTGAGAATTATAATATGAACGTTGGCGTCTATGATTTGAATCACTTCGTTGACGTTTTAATGAATTAGATGGCGATTCTGACGGAGAATAACTTCGCTGATGTATTGCTGGAGGTGATGCGGGCGATATCAGAGAAGGAGCATGCTTTTTAGAATGACGACTTTTATGTCTGCTATGATTCGGATGTAGATCATCTTGATTTTTTGATGAATGATTACGATGATGTTTCCCCATGTTATTCTAAATTCAACGTTTATGTAACATCTAGAGAAAAAAAAACTTATACTTAAACATTTAAAAACAGATGATCGTGATAGTCACGTCACATAGTTGGTTTCTAAACAAAACAATTTCTTAGAGCCATCTCAACTGAAGTATGCAAAAACAAAAATTAATTTGCAAGCAGATAAATCATAAATGTAACAACAGTACATAAGTATTTTGGTGCCCAAATGTTGCGCAAAAAATAAGCTGACTGGGATACTTTAAACATTCCAAAACTTTCAACCACTAGATTCTGTTACTCATAAATGCAAAGAACTGCTTGCTAATAAAATCCTGCTACTAATACTATAATCTTAGTCTTCACACAAAGTTCGCTCCACCACTACTTTTAATTCGAAGTTTGTAACAATGATATTCATAGCACTAACGTGTCGGCAAAGCTATATCAGGAATGAACAGCGTAGACAGAAAACAACAGCAGAATCCTTAAATCTTTAGTTTATAATTAATGTGAGCCTACGAAAACATGCGTAGTCGATAAAAGAGTGGCCAGCTCTATTGATTCTACCTATAGTTTACTAATTTTTAAAATTCTCTATACTGTAGATATTCAGAAAAATAAGCCAAATTTCTCCTCTAGAATTAGAATAATTCTTTTTTTTCTATCATTCGTCGTTCAATTATTTTTTTATCTATTCTGTATTATATTAGTTGTGCTTGAACAGTTTTAAAAAACAAATGAACAGTATTTATCTAGAATTCGTATTTTTCAATCTCTGAATAGAGCTTTGTAGCTCACAAAGAAATTTGCCACGCAACACAGAAGGACACGTAGGACAAAACTGCATACAGTAAAGAAATATTTAATTTAACTTCTACTTTTGAAGAAAAACAACCAATTTCTTCGTATTTTGATACTGATTTTAGAAGAAAACTCTACCGATAAGTTACTGATTATAGATAAGAAAATACTGATATAAAAAATTTTTGAGTTAGTATTGCTGGTTGAAAAACAGAACGCAGACGACTGCAAGCAGATGTCAAGTGTCTCCATAATGCTAGAACAGATTGTAAAAACATCCAACATTTTTATTCTCATAGAAGCAAAGCGTATTTCAGGAATCAACATCCGGGCTTAACGAATTGTTTTTCTGTTCTTCTCGTTAGCTCTCCTTTCATCATCTTCTTCCGTAAAAATAATAATTTTTTTTGCTTCATGACCTGATCGTCCTCGTCTCCTTCGCATCTTATTTAAACACATATTATTTTGTTATGCAATAAGGCAGATGCAAGAAAGAGAGGCATATATTTATCATACAATTGGCCGACAGATCATCCAATCATTATCGAAGAACTCGTCTTTTCTTCTTTCACTTTTTTAAAGAGTGCATCGTATTACTGTCCTAGAAGGTTACCATGAAAGTATAGCACTGTTGCAAAAAAAATCCACCATTACAATTTGATCGTCGATAGAATGACACATCGTAACAGTGTCACACTTTAAAAAGGAAATCGTTTTTTCTACTGTGACTCATCATGCGGACGATTTACTAAGCGGTTCTAAACACCTTTCTTACACATTGGGCACGGATTTTCAGTCTCACACAAATTAAACATTTTAGAGTGATGACATCTCTAAAGTAGAGATCTGCATGAACCACTTTTTGTCAATGTGTGTACTTTGTCCACTACGCGCCTATGATTTTACGAAGTTCATTCCATAAAAACATCAGATTATTTCTTCATTAAAAAGTGTCGTTCAGAAATTGAAAATACTCTAAAATGTTTATTCCTTACATGATATAGAAAGACAATTAGTTTTTCATCGTATTTTTTTGTTTATACTGCAAATCTGTGCCATTACAGATATTGCAATTATATATGAAAATTTCTTTAAAAGCTTTTTTCATACG